TGGGTGTGGAGGGCGGGGTGGGGGGTGGCCATACGACCGCCCCGTGCCATGCACGGCAGAAGGCCTTTTTAATAAATTTGTTTCTAAATAAAAAGTTGTAAAATTAGAAGGATATTATATAGATGCCACAGGAAGACTCTAAAAAAGGCATGACAGCAGTATTCCCCGTAAGAATTTAAAAGGGCACATGCAGATGTGTTACTCCATTACTTCAAACTGCCAGAAGTTTTTATAGACCAAATTTTCTAGACCAGCTTCACAGTCTGATCTCTCAGATTCTCACCAAGTCTGGTTCTTGAGGAGCAGGTTGGGTTCAGTGACTGTCTCTAATTGAAAACATTCCAGTTTTGGTGCAAGAACAGAATCACTCGCATTCATTCCTCATTTTCCAAGTGGTAATTTTCTGCTCTGGCATGTTCACAGTAAATGTGAAATAATCTGTATCAGCATAAACCTGAACGGAACAGGAGTGAGTGACCTATCTTATGGTTGTGCCAAGGTGGTAAGTTTGTGTGCAGGTGGTTATGGTAGACCAGCTGATGTCACCGGTTGCCTTAAAGTGACTTGTTTAGGTGCTGAAGGCTTAAGTGAAGACAAGGCTCCTCCTGATGTCTGCAACAGCTCAGAGTGAACTTGACTCCAGGAATAACAATTTAACAAGCTTCCTCAGACCGAAACACCTCTTGCAAGCTAAGAGAAAAAACTGGCAAGGGCAATGTAATACTGCCATAACTGCTACATCATCTATGTGCTTATCTTCTGCAAATATAATCCACTGCCCTTACTAACACTATGATAGCTAAATTAATATTACAAATTCTTAATCCCTGTGTGGTCTTTATTAAGCAGTTGGTAGTTTGAGCATCTATAAAGAAGCCACCTCCTTTGAACAAAGCAAAGGAAATACTTTACCAGATAATAGTTCTTTGGGTATTGATTTAGATATAATTCGAAGCTCTAGAAGAGGAGTGAAGACTCCCTCAATCATCCCAAACATAGAAGAAAGGCCCAAACTGAACAACATTATGAAAAACAGGATGGCCCAGGCCTGGGAGCCTGGCATTAGAATGATGGATTGAGTGAAAATGATGAAAGCCAAGCCAGTTCCCGATACACTCTGCAGAATACACAAACAGATAAAAATATGCATTATAATGGCATAAGTGTAGTTTCTTATGCATACAGAATTATAACACACTTCTGTCCCTCCCTGGAATCAGGGTGCTGGTCAGGCTGTGGGGCTGTGTGGCAGCCAGCAGTTGAGAAAATGGGCAGCCGAGAGTGTTTGCGGGGATTTTAATTTTACGGGGTCTATCAGAGATGTGTAATCAATCGTAGAGCATAATTTTAGCTTGCACAGAGAGATGGCTCCAGAGTAAAGCAGATCTGAGAGTTGTAACTGAAATAGCAATTGGTTTGCTAATACCATCTTAAATATGTTTTTTAAAAAAATCTATTATGTAATAGCTGCTGGAAAGAAAAATATGTAAATAAGGATATGATTGCTACTCTTGCAGCAGTAGAGTTGATCAACTGTTGATCACAAAAACCCCCATAATTACCAGGGCAGAAAAGGCTAATAGGGAAAAACCCAATTTCAGCCACATTTCTTGGAATTCAGTCAAATTCAGTCATTGAATTAGAGTTAATGTTGCTCTAATTGGGAAGTAAAATATGTCAAACTGGAAATCAGAAATGGGTGCCATGAGAGGAAGCCAGAAAAAAAACTGACTGGTGTCAGGGCTGGAATGTTGTCCTTGGACTTCTCCATGGTGTGAGTGAAATAGCCTATTTCACCATCAGTGTGTGTTAAGGCTATTGTGCAGTAGCACACTCTGCCTCTAGCAAATGTGTCCACCCTTTTGTCTTAAGATTTTATTTTTTTTTCTCAAGCTCCTTTCTTTCTTCTGTTCTCCAACCATGGCCCTATTCTTTTCTCATTAGGTGTCACGGACTTCTAACAAGGACTACAAATGAGTGTGTAGTAAATGAGAGTTACAGGACCGGATGGGATCACTGGAGCAAGTGGAATGAGGTTGGAGAAGCAAACAGAGAAGAAACATTGTGTTTAGTGGTAGGGGAAGTGTTTTAGGAGGGTTGGAAAGGCAGAGGATCATGATGTATTTTGGCAGGGGAAGGAGAGTTGTAGGAAAAAAAAATATTGGTGAGATCCTGTGCAGAGAGGAGGAAAAAATAAAAGGGAGAAGACAAGATGGAACAGAAAGATGGGGAAAGGAAGATAAAAGAGAAAACAGTGATAAGATACCTTCCTGGTGGTCATATACATGATTGAAGGCAAACAGTGAACATTTTTTTGATACTTTCCTAAATATGGATTTAGGAAACTGCCATTCAGCATCCTTTTTCTATAATATTTCAGCTAGATGTGTTTCCTCTGTTGTGCTTGTTCCTGTAAACCAAATTAGGACTGAATCTAGTGTCCATGATAGGCTCTGGGTAGGAGCACCTTTGAAGATCAGTTTTGTGATAATAATGTGTGATTTTGCATGCTGTACCAGACAGCTTTGTGTTCAGGCTGTCCTACAGCAGTGTTATTTCAGATTGTGAAAAATTGTTTTGTTTCATGATTATGTAACATATATTCATTACAAGTAAAGTACAAGTACTTATAAGAAAAAGGGACATACCAGTCCTTCTACATATCTTGTTTAAGGGTTACTTTGTTGAAAGTAATTGTGGTACCTGATCAAGAAATTCTTGAAGGTCACAGCTTTTCAGTTTGAGTCCAGCAATTTTTTCTGGATATGATGAATTTAGGAAACTAATCCAGGCTGTATAGTTCTGTCGCAGAATGATTTCTTCTGGAAGATCAAATTCATTGATGATACTGATAATATTCCTGCCAGAGAAGCCAACACATCATTAGTTTAAATGTTTGCAGATGATGCAGCTGAAACTGCTATGCCATGTATTCAGATGTTAATAGAAAGTTGTGTTTAATTTCTGTGCTGTTATTTACAATATAAAGGAAAATATTAAATGAGGACTTATCTATAAAATAGTTAGGAGAAAATATTCAGACTATTTAATGTCTTCTCTTTCAGATACAAAGTATCTGAGTACTTTATGCAAATGCAGTCTCTGAAACATTTCTATTTTTTATTTTATCAGCTCTCCAGACCACTTCCACCATTTGCGTGTAACAACTTTGTGAATCTGGTGGAGTAGGAAAAGGTGTAGATGTTTTAACTACTTCTCATGCTAGTCTGAGATTGAGATGTGATCCTTGATGCACTACTTTCAATGGATTGTTTTATAATTTGTCTTGCTTCTCACAAGCACTACCCCTGATCATTCTTGTCTCAGTGCCGTAATACTGTCTATTTTTATATTAGACTTCTCCATACAGATGCTTTTCCTTTTTAGTGAAAATAAGTTCTCTAAATGCATGTTTTTCAAGTAGCACATTATCTATTTAGGCATTGACACCACAGTATAACACTGGAAATACAAGTTGCTCACCTGTCCAAGCAGTCCCAGTAGCCTGTGGTTGCTTTAAACCCCAAAACAGAAAAGACCGGGATGGAAGCGTAGAGAGATGTCACACTGTTCACAACTGCTACTGTCACAGCATCCTTTTCACAGTCATTTCTAGAATAGCATTCAAAAAAGTGAAGTGACTAAAAGAAGGCAATATTTTATCTGTGGTTCTCTCAGGTATTTCTGCAAAAAATTTAATTTTTTAGATTTTTTTTTTTTTTGCCTTCCTGTTACAAAATCTATTTGGCCTTTTAGAAAGACAGCAGCTGTTAATATCCTTTAGAAGAATTAAGATCCTTTATAAATCTCCTAAGGAAAGGGTTTTGAAAATTTTAGAGAATTGCACAAAATGCAAGAATTTAGCCAATTTGTAAAGGTTGTAGTTCTACTTACTTTGGTGGGTTGTAGCTTGAGAATGCAATAAGCCCTCCAAAAGCCAAAGAGAGAGAGAAGAAAATCTGGGTAGCTGCATCAAGCCATACACGGGGATTTTTCAAAGTGTTCAGCTGAAATAATTGGAATAAATGCATATATTAGGCTTAAATTTAAATTTCTTTTTCTCTCCTAGTTCTCATAGCCCATCTTTCCCTTCTGAAATTGTGAGTTTTGTTGCCATCTAAATACACTGAAAATGGAAATTAGTACAAAACATGTTAGTAAAGCAGGTGTTTCTGAAGACATAATTTGGTCTATTTAAATGTTTGTAGTAATTATAGAATCTGTTTCATTGTACCCCTCTTCTGTCTGATGACAAAAATGTGTTTCTAATTTAGGCACACAATAGAGACAGTACAATTACATTTTGTCTCTATTTCTTTTTGTTAATCTACATACTGGGTAACTTACAATTTAAGAATATTGTCTTCCTAAAACTGTATAAGCAAATACTAAAACTTCATTGGTTAAAGACAAAAAGTGATTCCATAGGTTTCCAAATTTGCTTAAAAAGCCCAAGCAGATGAGAAGAGGACATTCATTTAAAAACTATCTTAGATTCAAAGTACTGTGAAAGCAGTAATAAAAGATAAAAGGGCAACATAGGAAAAATAAGGAAAAATGATAAATTGACACAGTGAAATTTGAATTTTGATGTACAGGTGACCTGATAGAAGAAGCTGAATTAAAAAGTCATTGATTGTTGGATTACAGAAAATAATATGGGATTTTAAATAGCAGCACTAAGAAGGAATCATGCAATTAAAATCAGTCTAAAAGAAAAAGATAAAATATAAGTAATGTGCAAAATGTAAATGTGCTCAATAAATGTTAGTTTTCTGCAGAAAGTAAGAAGTGGCATATTATATTCACACCAGACCAGGTGAATTTCTGGTCCGTTATCAAGTAGGGGGAATAGAAACCAGTATTAGTTAAGAAGGAGTGTTTTAAAAACCAGCTGGCCCAAAAGTAATAACCAGAGCTGTAGAGTATTTCACTTAGGTTTACATCAGGCTGAGTCAAATCTGCATCCCAGTCACACAGGTGAATTGTGTGTTTTCTGTGGTGTGTCTGTGTGCTGTGCTATTGATCCTGGTACCCGACTAGAAACATTTGTAGGAATGATCCTGCTGGGAGCATTTGTAGGAGTGAGAGGTAAGTATGCTAAAAGACCCTTAATAGCATTTTGGGTTTCTCTGAAGCTGGCCTGAGCTTGAAGAGCAAGAATAATGGGTTCACCTCAGTGTATATGGATGCAGTGAGTGTCATTGCTGCAGATGCTTTCTCCGCAATTATGCCAGTGCTTTGGCCACTCAGAACGGCTGTCATGTTTTGTACAACATAGTACAGCAGGCAGATATGTGTGAGCATTACTGGCTGAAATGTAATGGTCATTCAGCATTCACATTGCTACATAGCCTTCACAGCTTGATTAAGTGCTGACAAGTCAGTACTGATAGATGACGGTTTTAGTTTGGCGCTAGATTCAATGTATTTATTGACTCCAAAAGGTACTAATCAGCCCCCAGACTTGAAGAAATAGTGGACAGGCAAGCATGCCGTGGCAATGTCAGTATCTGGTCTTAAGCAAATCATTATGAATGTAAATGTTATTTTATGTTTTCAGTAATACGACATACAGATGTCATAAGTGTGTCTTCAGGAGAAAAAATGTGCTGAAGCTAGAAACATGCGGATGAGGATATACAACCAGAATGTTAGTGAATGAATACGGGAATAATGAGGAAAGGAAGCATAATTGCTTCCCTCTGGGTGGTGAGATGTTTGGATATTTCAACACATGACACACAGACAGAAACTTTCTGAAAACAGAATTTTAAAAATACTGGAATCCCTGTGATGGGTGATTGTGGTGTGAAAACAGCTATTGCTTTTCTCATAAGCAAGTGGCTGACAAGTAATACTGCACTTAAAGACAGCAGTTTGTTGAGGTAATGCTTTTGTTCTCCTCAATACCAGAAACAATACGGACAGACCAGGTACCTTGAAAGGAGTTTTAAGTGTCCATTCACAGTAATTTATCAGGTGTAAAACTAAACTGCAAAATAGAGGAAAAAAAATTACAAATCGCCTCTGTGATAGAGGATCTGGTGCCTGTGCTGCCTTTTTCTTTCTCTTGGCTATTCTCACTGCTCCTTAAATAGCTGCAGAGCTCTGGGTTGCAGGCATCAGTAGCCCAACCAAGTTCCTGGAATCGTTCATTGACAGAGAACCCCCAAATATTTACAGTTTCTGAAGCTCTTTTAGATGTGAAAGAGACGGGAGAAGGAGGCATTTGTGCTCTTGAGATGACACAGATGTCCATAGAAGCTGAACCATGTAGAGACTATTGCGATGCTTGATGGCATCTCTTCTCTGCTGCCTATGATTTTTTTTTTCCAAGAACCTTTCCAAAAGTTTCTATTCCAGCTTCCATGTTGCTTCATCTTTGTACAACATCTGCTTTCCCCTCAAGTGCAACTCAACTTCAGTATCTTTTTTGTTTTCTTGACAGCTTCGCTTCCCAGATAGCCAGGGATTTAGAAAGGGTGAGTAAATCGTCAGGCTTCTCCATGTCTGAAAGTCAATGAAAAGAGGTATTCATTATTTGTTCTAGAATTTAAGATGTGAAAGTGTGTCAGATAGCAAAAAGCCAACTATGTATTTCTGCATGAAAATGAAACCACAGACTACCATATTTAAAATCCATGTGCATGCAGTTATTATTTGTGGTGTTTGTTAATGAGAACTAAAATAGAAACTTGGAAAGTGAATAAACTTAAACAATAGTGGTTTGGGAAAAAAAATTAAATTCAATTGGGTGATTATGATGTTAAAACTGGCTAAGATGTGACTTTAGCACTAGGTATTACTTCCTTTCACGGATTTTCAAAAACAATTATGAGGTGTAACAGTTACCAGAAAATGGATGTGGCAGCTATTACAGAGAAACTACAATTTCTGCTGCACTGCAAAGTTGGAAAAAGTTGGAAAAGATTGCCTCCAATGAGTGGAGAATGTCAAGAAGATTGATTTTTTTTTTTATTTTTTATTTTTTAAAGCAAGCTGAAACAGGCAGTAGGTGAGCTAATTCTTACTTTATTTTGGTAAAACTTTACAAGCTTCCTGCAAAAAGACAGGAAAAGAAAAAGAAAACAACATACACTTAAGGAATAGGCTTTACTGTTTTGTAACCTAATGTCATCTGGGTGGGCCAGGTAAATCTTTACCAAAAAATCCCCACAAACCAACAGCTCCCCTGTACAACTCATTTTGGGACATCCTCTGTGGAGAAGTGTAACAAGAAAAATGCATGTATTTACTAACGGCAGTGGTGGGAATAGTTCCTCTTTAAACAGGCTAACAGAAAAGGCAATCCTGGTACTGCAGCTGTGGGCTAAGGAGAAGAGAGAAAGGAAGCATTGCAGTTGTATGCTTACTGTCTTTTTGAAGTCCTTGAAATGCCAAAATCCTCCATAGCAGCTGGTTAGTTAACAAAGTTAGTTTAACAAAGCCATCTCTCTGTCTTGCACTCTGACTTTCTATGCAATAGAACACCCACAGCAGATATCACTTACCAGGCTGTTGCATCAGCTTCTCCATGTTTGTAGGTCAGAACATAGTTTCATCACCAAAACCATCTTCAGATGACTCTTCAAGGATGTCCCCAGGATCAGGTTCCTCAAACCAGCTAAATCATTAACTGTGGGTTGATTGCAGCCGGATTTTCATTCTGACTCTGGCACCAGTCTACAAAACCATCCGGCTCTTCTTTTACGATGATCCACTCCCCCTCAGCACTGCAATACCTCCAGGCTTTATGAACACACACAAATCTATTTTTTTTCATTAAGTTCACTGTGCAATGATCGTAAGTCCTGGAGATGCCTGAGCCTTTCCAGAGAAACCCGACAGCTGGGCTGAGACCAATTGACAATAGGCCAAGCCCTGTTCTGTTTGTGTGGTCTAATCGGCTTTCTTCATTAAGACATTGCACCAAGCATTTATTGTCCTGTCTGGGCCCTACAAAAATGCAGGTGCATATCCTGATCTCCTATAAAGACCACAGTTGTCCTTTTTGACCTCTGACAGTGTTCAGATGGGGGCCCATGCCACTGGGCTTGCAGGGGGAGGGGTAAAAGAGGTGTATCATCTGAGCTTTCTCTTGCTGTTGTCCCTTTCCAGGCTGGCATTTAATTTATCTCCAGGCTTCTTGGCGTATGTTTTCCTTAATGCCCGTTCCTGTTGCAGGAAGGGAAAGGGAAATGCCCAGCGCAGCTGTGGCGGGAAGCACTGCTGTGGCTGCGGAGGCAGAGGATGCTCTGAGACCATCTGTCAGTGGGTGCTGCTTTTCCTTCTCTACACTCACTGCTTTATGGAGCTTTTTAGCACAAAGACAAAGCTGCCAGGAGCCTGTGGTTGATAGCAACCACCTGGTAGGACAATTTGACTTTGCATTTGGGAAGGCAGGTAAGGACGGTGTAAAGAGGTCCATTTGAAATGGCCAGCATATGGAGGGATCTGGGACTCCTGTCCCTTTGAGAAGATAAGAAAAAATGGGAGAGGGGTATTCTCCAGCAGTTCTGTCTTTTAGGGATAGCTACAGGGGGGAAAGCTTCAGCTACAGAGAAAGAGGAGTAGGAGAAAATTACTTTCAACCTTTAAAAAAAAAAATCACTTTGCAGTGTAATTCCTCAGTCATTTTCCTTGTGAATTCTTAAAATATTAAAGTTGTGTAAATTCTGTAGCGTTGCCTGGGAAATCTCATCTTTATCATGTGTAAAAGAGAGATTATTCTGTTCATGAAGCGTGTCAGTTTCACTTACACCTTCAAGACCAAGGCACCTAAAACATACACTCAATTTTCCAATATTTTCTGCTGTGATTATTACTGAGCTGTTAAATACTTTGCTGCTTTTTGTTAAAGTATATTAAAATACTAAATCACTTAATTTCAGAAAAAAGAGCTTGGCTGAGCTCTTGGATAGGTAGCTAGATCACAAGTTGCTGGAAAATTACTATACGGTATAAGATCTGAGAGGGAGAATAAAGAGAAGCAGTATTTCTGACTATAGCAGCAATACTTACATTAGGGGTGAAGAGGTAAGCCAGACCGTCAGTGGCTCCTGGTAGAGTGAGACCATGAATAAGGAATATAGTTAGGACCAGGTAAGGAAATATTGCTGTTACATAAATTGCCTAAAGTAAGAAAATAAAAGACAGTTAGTGACAATAATATCAATAAATCCAATTTAAGCTATTACAGCATACAATCTTAATATTAGGTAAGATGGCTACAGATGAACATTGCCATCTTTAAAAGAAGCAGAATGCGCTTTTGCAGAACATACTTGTGACAAAATTGCTCTTAAAACTGTGTGAGGAGAGACTGGTAGGGCAGAAGCATTTGCAGTGAAAAAGGAGAGAAGTGTCATTTTGGGCCACCTGTATTGCTGTTGTCACATTGTTGGACAAGGAGCACACTGAAATGGTGCTAGTGTGGCAAATGGGGAAGGCTTTCCTTGGTGGTGAAATTCAGTATCTAGAGAGCAAGATCCAAAGTGTGGAATAACGCACTTCTCTATCCTTCCCGTACCTTTCCTGTGGTTTCAATTCCTCGGATGGTGCAGAGATAGACAATTGCCCAGCAAGCTGCTAAGCACAAAATGAGCCACCACTGTAACGTGCCACTCTCAGTGACATCGGGTGTTATGTTCAAAGTTTTCCTGTACCAAAAATAATTTACTGCAGTACTTTCATAACATTCTTCATTGAGCCCTGGAAAAAAATGTGGCAAGCATAAGAATAAATTTTAAAATTGGTAATACTTTTCCCACTTAGTGTATGGTTAGAAAGCAATACTTTATACTAATAGAGAGTGGCAGGACAGTCTCTTGTGGGCTGACAAATTAAATACAGAGATGGACTGAACTGGCCTTTCAGCACTGTCTGTAACTTGCAGCAAGACAAACTCTGTCTTGACAGGCTTAGGCTGAGAGACTTACACGAGACCTTCACCAGAACATCAGTAGCATTTCTACAGGTGATAACTTTCCAAGTAGAAAAGGTGGCATACTCAGTACAAGGTGAAATCTAAACTGTAATTGCAGTGGAGACTGCAGCAGGCACTGCCCAGCCAGGCTCTGCGCCTGGAGAAGAGGGAACCAGGAACACGACATACACCACGACCCATCCTGACCCCTCTGCCTATGTGCAACCTACATGCCTGAAGAGGACGTTGACAGAGGTTCTTCAGGAAACCCACTGACCTGCTGTCTTTAGCTGGAAAGCTGAGTTCCCTGGGTGCTGCAGGTCCTGCCTGTGCTCCTAGCCCGAATCAGGTGTGTCCTAGGAGCACGAGGCAGCCCTGAGCATTTCCAGGAGCTGGGGTGACATGGCGTGGAGCCAACAGAGGCACCCCTGGTAGCAATCCCTGTAACCACGAGGTCCAGCACACACCCAGGCTGGGGGAGCTCTTTCTCCTTTTCCTGCCTGGTGAGACCTGAATGCATCCCTTCCTCTGCCTAGGAGAGCACACTAATTTTCTTGCAGCGTTGCCTGCTGAAGCTCCTGTTTTGCACACGATCTCATTCAAGTTTAGCATAACTTTTTTTTCTCCTCCTTCCCTGACTTCAAGCCCCGTCAGCTTTGGCTATTGGCTCCTGCTTGGATAACCTAACGCACCGAGCAGAGTAGCTCACGCAGGGCAGTACGGCTGGTAGCCCTGGCTGGAGAAAGGACAGATCCTTCCACTTGCAAGGGGAAGGATGAGTCAGTCATCCTGTCATCACCCTACAAAGGGAAAGGGCATGTCTGCAGGCAGCAGAATGATAAAATGCTGCGTTTCAGCAACATCCTGATGCTGCATTTACTTGTAGTATGTCTGAGGTGGCTGAATGAGGTAAGTGGCTACAGAAGACCTCCCTTATTCTCCTGTTTAAACTCCAGAGCTGGGCATAATGGTATATTTTAAGAAGATGATCCTGAGGGTACAAGAAACAGCTCCTTCCTCCATTTTGAATTTTTTCCTGTTGTATGAAATGCCAGCCTGTTCAATCAAGCTCTCAAACTACCCCATTTCTCCCTTTTCTTATGACCTTTCACTCGCTTCTGAAATAGCCACCATTCACAATAAAACTCTGAAAACAAATGAATCAACAACATGGCAATTAGGCCACTAAGCAGAGCTCAGGGATCCTCCAAGTTCCTTGCCCCGTGGCCACAGCGGTGAAGCACACTGCAGTGCTCCCAGGCAGCTGACTCCCTGATCTTGATGGTGAATTGAATTTGGTTTGCTTTTTGACCTTTTTTTTTAGGGACCCTCTTGTTATGCACGAGATGTTTATTCAACTATTTTCAACTAGAGGGAAGAAGCAAAGTATATCGCTCTTCCATCCTTGCTGTGCAGCCCTCCAGCCTCAGGAAGAGAGCAGCTGTGGGTCCTTCTGCTGTGGTTTGGGAGAAAGGACTGACTGAGGAGCCCAGCTCTGGGAGAGGTTTGTGGAGCGCTGCCCCTGCAGCAGGTGAGGACCCCCTGCCACCTCACCCTGGGTTGCAGAGCTATCAGCCCTAGCTGGGTTAAAGAGAACAGGAAGATCTTTTAAAGGAACAAAATAAACCCTGACAGAAGATATCGTAAAATTGTTATTTCTAATGTAAAAAAGGTAATATTGATAAATCAACATTTTGCTCTTACTCTTCTGTAAAATAGAGACATAACAGGACTGCCAAGTAGTAAAAATGGACTGGAAAATGCAGATTACATTAGAAATTATATACAAATGGTAAATTTGGAGGAGATTCCTGGTTTCTAAGTCTTGAAATATTACAGAAATTCTAGCAAACAAAGAGTTAGGTCATCTACCTCTGAAAAGTAAGAAAAGAGATCTGAATAAGTACTTGCAGAATCTTGACCTCAACTCTGGGCTAAATTCTGGGAAGAGATGGCCTACATGGTAAAAGGCTGATGGACAGGAGTAATCATGATTGTGGTCATTGTGGCTTTATGAAACTTTTCAAACAAAACTTGCTGTGGAGAGATTGCAAGGTGGAGAATAAAATAACTTACAGGTACGTGATATACTGATTTAGCCACGTGACTTTCCAGTTACACATTTACACTTGAAATTGTGATTGCCACTGGGATGTCATTACAGCTGAAGCTGGTGATCCTCTTTCAGTATATGAGGACACTTGTGTACTCAGACTTGCTGGTGTCCTTTCCTCAGGTCTGAATTAAAAGAATCGGATGTGCACCCGAACATACACTGACCAGTGCAGTCCCATTTACCTCTGAATATGCAGTCTCTGGCTGTTCAGTGAAAGTCTGTGGGTTGCAGCAGTGTGTATGTGTAACGAGATATGTAGTGAAAAGCTTTGCAGCTCTTGTCCCTGTAGTCCCGGCTTAAGTACATGAGCCTGAAATAATGCCATTTTAGTCTACGTTCAGCTAAGCCTGGTGGATGGGAACAGCTGCTACTGGACTCAGGAAGCAGTGAGAGAGCATTGCAATCATGATGAAGAAGTGCAGGGTCTTCCCATCGTGCCACTGGCATTGAAAAATCTGTCCTTAAAGGATTTCTTCAATGTTTTCTAAAAGATGCTTGGGGTTGGGGTTTGTAAAGAGTTGGGGTTGTTCAGCCTGGAGAAGAGAAGGCTCTGGGGGACGTTATAGCAGCCTTCCAGTACCTGAAGGGGGCCTACAGGAGAGAAGGGGAGGGACTTTTTACAAGGGCATGTAGCGACAGGACGGGGGGTAAGGGATCTAAATTGGAAGAGGGCAGATTTAGACTAGATCTTAGGAGGAAATTCTTTACTGTGAGGGTGGTGAGACACTGGAACAGGTTGCCCAGGGAAGCTGTGGATGCCCCATCCCTGGAGGTGTTCAAGGCCAGGCTGGATGAGGCTTTGAGCAACCTGGGCTAGTGGAGGGTGTCCCTGCCCATAGCAGGCAGGTTGGAACAAGATGATCTCTAAAGTCCTTTTCAACCCATTCTATGATTAACTAAGAATGCAATTTTTTGTATATCAAACTAGTTGATTCAAAATTTGATCTCCAAAGTAGGTTTGGAAAACATTTGTTTAGCTCACTAGTTGGGACATCTGTATCCTGAGAAATTAAAAAATTCTGTTTCTTAAAGCCCAAATTATTTTCTCCACTTCTGTAACAACAATGGGGGATGTCTGATTGTCTTCCTACTCTAGAATACTCCTTAGAAATAACTAAGATCTCCAAAAGAAAGTTGACTTCTGCTATGTTTTCTTTTTTCTTAGCCTCTTACTCAGATTATGTTTCTTACTCTGCCCTGGAACTTCTTGTCTCTCATGCTCTGAACAAAAAAGAAAGTGGAAAAATAATTTTAAAGAACTGAGAGCAGTCTTCCTTATCCTGCTTAGGTACACTGTCTGTCTTTAGTGTTACGAAAGATTTTTTAATTGTTAGTAGGAATTTGGTCTGAGCCTCAAAGATTCCCTCTTTCTCTGCTACCTCAAAAGTGTTTTGCTTATTTAGTTGCTCCTCCTTTTTTTTAAATGCTGTTATTTTGTTTTCAGTTTTGAAATTAAGCAAAAGGGGTCACAGACTTTCTGGCTTTTGTTGGTCCTGTGAGGATGATGAATTTGAGCAAGCTATCATTACTCTCGTAGCTTTTTGACAGGAAAACAAAACCAGGTCTTGTGCACAACTCAGGGCAATCAAGTGTGGCTTCTCATCTCAAGGGTTTCTTGGTTATCTGCTCTAGGAAGCTGTCTTGTTGGGTGTGTAAAAGTAGCCTCAGCAACCTTCAGGCTGAAATTAAAGTTCTACAGTAGGGCTGCGTTTTCTGCTTTGAAAACTCAGCTGATCTTTCTCATCACATCATGGAAAATAAGCTGAAAAATTTCTTTAAGAGCTCGTTATGAGTCATAAACAATGCGTCACCACCTAATGAAAACCTGAAAGTCTAATTTAAAGCAGTTACTGAAAGATGTAGTCATAAATTTGGTTCTTAATTATGCTAACAGTCTCACATGTCTCGATACAGTTTCTGATAACAGATGTGTGCCTTGATAAAGGATTATTTCCCCATAGTCAGAAAGCAGAGGATACTCTTTCAGATTTATATCATTGCACAAGCATAAAAAATAAACAAAAGTTCCCTTTTCCCCCGCTAGCCCCCAGACTCTGATGTTTGTGATCTTCCTTTTGTGAGCAGTGACACTTGAAGTGGTAGTTACCTGTTCTGTTTTCATTTAGTGGACAAACACTCCAAGGAAGAGGTTCCTGGAATGAGTTTATGAAATACCACATCACCCAGGTTAAAATCGTGTTGTAGTATAAGCTTATCAGAAGCGACACCATCCACGAACCAATCCCTGCAGAAAGCACAAGATCTCAACTTAGAAAAGCTTTGGAAAAAATTGTCAATCACAGCACTTGCTCTTAGAAGCTCACATTTCCTAATTTTTCAAGATTTTCTGTTTCCCCCAAGAGATTTTCACATGAAAGATGGGCATTCGTGTCCTCAGCAGGCAAACACTGGTGCACAGTCTCCCAGCTACCCTGCCCTGCTCCGAGGAGGCTGACGCTTACTACTCACTTAGAACACTGGGGTTGAAATCTTTGCTCTAGAATGTAATACACTGTTTTCTACAAAACAGGACAGCTTTAATAGCAGAGACCAAAAGAGACTGAAGTTTAACAGCATGCTATATCTGCATGAGGGCACTCTTTTGTCCCAAATCATGCACATATGCCCTAAACTGATAACTGTTTTGTTCCTACAATAAGGAAAGAATAGCAACACCACGGATTCTGCTTGCTTGCATTTTTGCAAAGGGAGGAGGGACATGCCTAATTGTAGGAGATGGGTTTAGCAGGAACCACCACCCTGCTGCCTGGTGTTTCTTCCTTATTGCCCTCACCCTTAGATAATTCTTCTTACCCACCCCTTTTCCTCCCACACACCCTGACAGGCACCACTGTCGCTGCCAATCCCATTTTCAGGCACCTGCTTAAAGCAGGGGGGATGATCCAGCAGTGCTGGCGGGAGCCTCCCAGGGTTTCTCCTTGTCCTGGCAGGCAGGAGGTTGCTGTCTCAAAACCAACAGACCCAATGGTTCAGCTCTCTTAACAGTGGCTGCTCCCATTCACTTTTTGTAGCCTAATAATGTGTGCAGGACACAAGGTATGTTTTTTCAGTGTATATTAAATTAAATAATTTTTTTTAAAATTGCCAGTACAGCACTGCATGCCAGTCTGATGCATGCTGCCCTATGGATTGTCCCTTGTTCCCAGCCACGTTAATAATCTCCCTTCAGCAGCCCCACTGTGCCCTCCTCTCCCTTAGAGGAATTTTCCCAGGTCTTTTAGGCTATTTAGGAGGTTCCAGGCTCCTGTTCCTGATTTCCTGTCTTTCTTCCCCCTCCTCGCCCCGGGGCTGTGAAGGAGGAGCACCAAGGGGAGGCAACTCTTGCGTAAGCTCCAAGGTATGGTAAGAACGGAGCAGTGTTCACTAGCAGAGCTCATGTTCGTTATGCTTCTCCCAGCAAACTTATGAAGTTTGTATTTAAGGCTCCTGTGTGCCTGGAATAACACCTGGAGGGAGTGATATGGAATCATAGAATGGTTTGGGTTGGAAGGGGCCTTTAACAGTCATCTAGTTCCCTGAGACACATACCAATTCCTCCAAGGTAAGGAGAGATGGTGTTCCAGGCACCGATGCTGCCTTTCCTCAGGCACTGTCCTAGGGCCAGTTCGAGATGCAACAGTGGGATTCCTTCGAAGAGAAGAGCGATGAAGTATGGGATAAAACCTAAAAATATAATAAAGTGCAATTGAGACTTGATTATCTGCATCTCACTGAAATTACTGTTTGATAATTTGTCTGTTTTACAACCCTAACAAAGTCCTTGTAGGATGTATTGAGAGAGGGAGCATCCTTGGGGATACCTGCCAAGTAACATCTGTTACTGGTAGTTTTGCTGGTGAAGATGTAGGAGAAAGGACTGGGATGCTTCATGCTGCAGGATGCTTCCACTCAGGTGCTGCTACAGCCCATTATAAATAGCCTCACTATTTCCTTAATTTCCCTTTCTTTTAAACATCTTCTTTTCTCCTCCTGCTCATAAAGCACAAGGGTTTGGCTCTCCTCTATACCCTCTCTTTTCCCTTCTGTGCATCACCTCGTTTCCCTCCCTAAAGTTCTCAGGTGTGTGCTCCTCTGTCCTGCCTGGCAAAGCAGGATTTTGCACTGGAGACCCCAAGAGAGCAGGTTACTTTATTGCATGAAGTTCTGCTCAAAGCACAGAGCCTCTGGCTAATGAAAAACTGAAAGCAAGACTGAAGTTGTCAGTGAAACACAGGAGCAATGAAAACTGATTTCCTCCTGGTTTGTATCCTCTACGTCTTCCCTCTTTTCTCATAGCGGCTCCCTTGGGCCAGAGGCAGCGCGTCCCGTTGGCTGCCTGCAGGCCAGAATCCATCCTTCTGGCAGCCTGGCTGGTTCCTGCAAAATGGTGTGTAACGCTTCATCTCCCCCACCTCCCCTCAGAAGGGACGCTGGTTTGGGTCTCCCTCCTTTCTACAGATACTGATTTTCATGAGGCCAGGAGAAGTTTCATCAGTATATTTAAAGCACCTGCCCAAATGTCCGATGAAATTAAGATAGTCTAATAGATTGAAGTTTATTGGCATGGCCAACCACCACTGTAACCACAAAGCCTCTTTTCTTTGGGGAAACAAAGACAGAAGTCCTGCCTCAGGCCCCTCCCATTCCTTCTACCGACTCACACTGACTCTGTGCTTCTCACCGTTTTGTTGGTAAACCCATGCCTTGTTATACCACTTCAGCTTTGCCTCCAAATCTTGTATCTGAGTCTGCCTAGCTCTGCTCTTCCAGCTCTGCAAACCTTCTCCCCTCCCTCCAGGCTGGCAGGGAGAGCAGCTTTGCCATCGCCATCTCAGAGAGCAGATCAGAGCAGCTCGGCTTTCTGACCCATCTTTGGCCCCAAGAGGGAGGTCAGGGAGCGCATGAGGATTTCTGGTCTCTTCCTGGAATGGCTCCAGTGTTTTGCAATCACTGACTACTTAGAAAAAAATGCGCAGATATATCTAATCATTTAGGCTAGGTATTGCAATAACTTTGCTACCTATTGCTAGGTGCTGTAATAACTACATAAAACACCCAGAGAAGGTGTGTTGTTTAATATTTTAGCCCTTTACCAAGAAATACATGGGAACAAAAGCTGGCAAAACTCTTCTCAGTGAAGGACTGTTCTTAATTTTTCAAAGGTAGAAATAAATGTCTCTCCTTATGGTCTGAGTTCTTAAGATGTTTTTAATGGCTAAGAAGCAGATTTGAAAAAGGAGTCTCACGGTTAATTCCCAGCATGTTAAGTCCTCAGTCTGGATCCTCAGTACCCCTGCTCAATAGTGCCCTTGGTTGGAGGAAGATCTAAAGTAGCTTTTGTAAACCCTCCCTAAGAGAGAGATTTACAGAGGGAGTTAAGAACCACAATAGTTTGTTTATTTTTAAGTTTTACCACCTGATTAAATCTCACCTGGAGCCACTTACAAAGCTCCCATGTGACTACTAAGCAATTTGCAGATCCCTTCTGCAAGAACCCAGTAACCTCTCACTGTGCTCAGTCCTGTGCTCTCCTTCAAGTCTGCTGCACTATCCCCCCCTGCAGCACCCCTGAGGGTGCCCACCCAGCCCTCCAGATGGCTGGATGCCTTGGGCTGCCTCCTAGGAAGAGCAGAATATTCACGCGAGTGACCAGACCACCACATTGCGGAGTATCCTGCTCGTTTGCACGGCTGCCCGGCCATGCACCAGCTCCGGGCGGCAGCTCTTTCCCGGCAATCCGGGCGACGCTGAGCCCTTGCTAGCAGAGTGCTCCGTAAGGGACCTATCTCCTGTATCATATCTCCCTTGAAATAACCGTGTAATAATTAGTGCAAACTGCCCTCTGTTATCTCTCTCCTTTTCCGTTTGCTAGTTGAACCACTGACAGCAGAGCATGTTTAGATATTCTGCTGATAAAAGCCTGTTTACTTTGTGCTGATTTGTACATATCTCCAGTCATATTTACAGCATGGCAAAACATAATGTTACACCTGGAAAGAAAATACTGGTTTTCCATGAGAACAACATAAAAAGTATTCTATCTGCAAATATGAAAATATGGCAGAAGATCGGGCTAAGAAGAAATAGTTAACGGAGATGATCTTTCTTGAGCCTAATTCAAATAAATGGCTTGTAGTGTAAAAATATGTTTTCAGTTATTCATTCCTTTGCTTTACAGTATTTTTAGACAAAAAGGAAATAGGAAAAGCATAGACAGTCTGCTCAAGCACTTGAAGCTTACTCTTTTCCACAATAAAATCCCCCACCCATAGAAAGAAAAAAAATTCTGGAAAGATATCAGATACCTATTAGTGAGTAGGAACCCCCTAGCACTATGTAGTGTTTAATAGATAGGGGAGGATGTGGAGAAGGCAGAATTTAAATACTTTAACAAAAAAAAAAAAAAATGCCATGAGAAACCTAACTGTGGAAAAAGCAAGAAGAAAATCCAAGAAGCAGAATGAAGAAGTGAGTTGCTACCTAACACAAAACATGTATTACAACACAGAGCATTCAAACATGGACACAGCAAAACCCTGTCAGCACCTGTATGACATGTAGCACAGGTACAGCAGAAAGCAGGTTTGGCTTCCATGAGGCCTGGGAAAAGGAAAGCTTAGCAGAGACAATAGTAAAGTGCCAGTAAGCAAATTATTCTATATCTGGATATTCTAGGTATATTTATATCTAGGTATTCCAGATTTAGATGCTCCACAGTGAAAAGAAATTAAATGACGTACATAAGAAGCGAACCCAGGGGGGAACCTCTAAAAACAAAAGTTTAGCTTCAGTAACTTTTTTCCTCTCAAAAAATAAATAAAGAAAATTGTAGTGATCAAGCATTTGTAAATGCCTTAAAGGCCTAGAGAAATGCCCATAAAAATCAAAAGTATCACCAGGCCATGATTTAGTTGCATCCCTGAGTCATGACCTAGAAAAATTTTAGTTTACACCATTCCATCTGTCAGAAAGACATCAAAGATGCATAAAGTATCCATCCTGCAAGGAGATACATGCACTACTAAAAGAAGGTCAAGAAAAATAAAAGAAAAACTCCAAAATCTAACAAAGTTAAAAGTTGTTTTGGAAGGAGGTTCTGCACAAGGATACTGCAAAGTCAAGGAACAATCCCCGTTCACATGAGAAGGCACAGAAAGCCTGAAAAAACTTTGTCAAGTGAGGCTATCAACAACTATGAATACTGGACATTTTGGTAACCTTGTTTCATTAACAGTAGAGTCCCAAGTGACAAGGAGCACCAGCATGCAGCATGATCGGTATGTTGCTAACTCGGAAGAACCACTGGAGTAGAGATAACGCTATAGTCATGGCAGTAGAAAAGAAACACCTGGTGCACTCTAGATACACTGAGGGCTTTTAAAACCTGACCCCAGTAACATCTTGGACCCACATCAGCCTATTCACTTGACACTAAATCAATCAGGTGCTTTCAGCAAAAGTATTTTCAATGTCCTCAGTTGCAACATACAGGCAAATCAGGTCAGAAAAGCAACCGCTCAACCATATTCAGCCCTTGGCCTGCAAAATGACGCTTGAAGGGCACGGTCTTTGTTATATCACCTACACATGACAATGTGGAAGAAAAGTGCACGAACCACTAGGCAGCCTATTGATAGTTGCTCATGGCCACGTGGCTGCACTGGAGGGCAGAATGACCAAGAAGCTAATGAAGAAGCACAGCCTAAACCTGAATCACAGCAACCACCAAAGCAGAGTGAAATAGCAAAATAGGTTTTGTCACACCTTAGAAAGAGAGAGCATTAGACCCGATTAGTGGAAATGTAAAGTAGTGTGAAGTATCAGTCAGGTGGCCTCCTAATCAAGATGTACCAACACCAGCGGAAATTGATATGCTCAATGAGAAGCAGATAAGAAAACCCAATAGCTTTTCTTGATGTCAGGGTACCAATGAAGACTTCCTAAATGGTGGAGAAAAACTTATTGATCCATGTGCTCAGTGTTGCATCTTACAGGCACCTGCAGATCAGCTAGCATAAGAAAGACAAGTAACTCAAAATTATGATCTAAAGACAGAACAGCATTTGAAAGGTCAGAACATCAGTAACAGATTTCCTACAGATTAGAGATTTAGGAATGGAAAAAAATAATTATAATGAAGAATGAAGTTACCTAGAAAGTGTCAAAATAGTAATTCCAAAGGAAACGCATCTGTAGAGACTGAAAAATTTGGAAAGCATGTCTCAGTAAGATACAATGCAACAAGCAGTCAAAGAACCACTTCACTGGTTCTGTTGGTACACGGGAGAAATGGTGATGGGTGCATTCTTCCAAAAGAATGAGAACGTACTGGCAAGATACCTGTGATAATTTATGTTTTACTTACAGGAAATTGCAATAGGTGGTAAACACTTGTTCAGATACAAATATATTAGCTATTGAAAGGGGATTATCAGAGCTGTCCCCCTTTCTCCATGGGAGTTCAGCTAAGCAGCACAGTAGTCAGCACAGCAACGAATCATATCAAGACATCAGGTAGGGAAAAAAGCAGCAACTTGATCATATTCACCCCTCTCTCTGCAAAAAAATACTTCATGATCTTTGTTATGTCTTCTGCACATGCCTTAATCCAGATGAAAATGTGAGCTGCTGTAAAGGTCGTAGTTGTGCAGAATATTTGTGATGGCACTGACTTTGACTTATAGGTCACATTGCATATCTTACAGATTCTGAAACTTTGTAGGCAATTGAGTTTCCCATGTAAATTACTATATCTCGTTGAGCAACAATGAAGGAGCTAAAACCATGTCCAGAAAACCAAGGGGACAACAGCCATTTCAGACAAAGATGGGTAACACCCATAGATCAACTTTTAAAATAACCTTGGTAAACTTCCCTATGAAATATTCATGACTGGAAGATGCCAATTAGCAGTACCCACATGCAAGCATGCACCAATGGAGCTGTAAAAGGCAGACAAATACAACAAGTTACGGAACAATAGCCCCAAATGCCGTAGCTTCTCACCAAGGACTTGAGCAGGACATGGTAACAAGCCAGAAAATTAAGTTTGTTATTTGTCATAACATAATTCATTTTTCTGCCACAGAGTGAACTGAACTGTTCTGCTCTTCCCAACCTATTTTTTTTTTTTTTTTCCCCCGCAGTATCTTCCAGGCATGCCTGTTGTTCCTCTCAGATTTTATTTTCCTTCTGAGGCCACAGTGAGCCAGGCAACTGCATTTCGTACCAAGTTGTTGTTCAAATTCTAGCAAAAGGTCAGGTAGGGTCATGAAAGTCTGTAAATCATTGCCCCAGATGTAAACAGTTCTCCCTTTTTAGCAGGACTTCAGTGTTTATGTGTACTTATTTTCTTAGAAATAAATTGTATTTTATATTAAAGATATTTTTTAGTCATCCTGTAGGCTCAGGCACTATGCACATTTTTGATACTCATGGGTTAGGCAAGCATATATATACTAGTTTTAATCAAAAGTAAAACAGTACGTAAGTTCCAGCTAGAACTGGGTTGTTTTTACTTTAAGTACACTCAGATGACTGTATGTGTACATATATAGCTATACGACTTGTTTGAGTCTCAGTTTTAAGTGATAAACCATATACTGGGCCATTTAGAGACTTCTTTTCAATCTCAGTTGCCTGGGAACCTTTGCATTTGTCTCCACTTACTGTGGCAAACAACCTTCATATCCATTAGTCATGAAAAGTAAATAACTAACTCAACTCAGGCAATAAATCCAGATAATCAGTAACAACAGCAGGTGATAAATGTCAGCAAAACTGATATTGTATTAGATCCGAGTTACTGAGTAACACTGATGTGCAACAGAATAAGGTCCATAGGTCTGATGAGAACAGCTGATGTGAGACAAATACACACGCATTTATTTTTATCTGTTGTTTTTTAAAAGACCTAGAAATGAGGAAAAATGCATTACCTAACTCTTAAACACCTGCATATCACCTGAACCAGTTGTGAAACTGTGGTCTGTGCCCCGGAAGCCATTAATCTTTCAAGCAAATCTATCCCATTTCCGTACCAGGTTTTGCTGCACTTGTGGCTGTGGCTGCAGGCATGGAGCCACTGCACCCCTCAGGGCTCCTCATTAACCACGATGCTGCTGGTCCCTCCCATGGTCGCATCTTCAGATGCACACAAGCAGGATTTATGCCCAGTACCCCTGATAGTCTGAGTTCTTTGCTTTCAAAAATGCATCCCCAAATCACATCGCTACCTTAAATTAGCAGAAGAAAAATGTGAACACATTATACACTGGCATAAACCTAACAGCCAGCTGTGTCTTCTTGGTAGTCTTCATGACTCACTCAAATTCTTCCAGTGCCAGGTTTCTGGGATAAATTACTTACAAACCCCACAGCACTTTGTTACAGAGTCCATCCTGCTGTTGAGCTCTCTGACCCCTTTGTTAAAATCCAGTGACCAAACATTGGCCATACACCCATACATTGATCTTTATTCACCACTGTCTCTTGTGCTGCTGTTTGTAGTGATGCAAAGTAGCTATATGCTGTTTAAACTGATTTTTCATTGTCAAAATTACTACTCATGGAGAAAAGGAACAACTCAACCTTTGTCCCTGTAGTGTTTTCCTATTTGTAGTATCTTTAAACCTTCTCTAGACCCTGACATTTTTCCCAGCAGCTCCCGTGGGATATATCAGTGCTCAGAAAGTTGGATACACAAGCAAACAGACTTTTGAGCACTGTGTGGTCCACAAGACAGGTCACCATGGGTCTTGTTGCTCTTGGACTCACGCTTCTCCTGGACTGGTAGAGGTCTGTAGGGCAGGGATGCAGGGGACCCGGGAGGTGAGGGATGGAGGGGAGAGATCAAACCTCAGTAGGAGGCAAGTCTTGCTGATCTTCTGAAGTGAGGCTGGGATCTGAAGAGGTTGAAAAACAGCTGGCCACAGCTAGTCCCTTGCCTCCCAGCATGGAGAGGCAACTCTTGGTGCTTCATGGGAAGGTGTGAGAGCCTTTTTACAGTCAATAGAATAATATTTCATCTTAGTCCAATATAGAGATTTGCACAAAACCCTGAAGCACAAAGATCATGCAACCTTGTGCAGTTGGTGGCCCCAGAAGCAGCTCCATGTAATGAGGTGTGCGAAGGAGTGACATCTTGCCACGTCTGTGTTTCAAACCTTCCACTGAGCATTTTGTGCTAGTCGTTCATTACATTACAAAAATATTACATTAGGTTAGTTTTATTATGTTATTTGTTAATAGTGATTGTTTGTTCCCCTGCTCCAAGAGAGAAAGGCCACCTGAAATGCTGTAGGGTTTTTGTCTGACCTACAGCTCCTGCTCCAGAAGAACATCTTCCCTGCAGGCCCCATGCCATATCTGCTATGGGGATGTCCCTCAAAAGGTGTTTATCATGTCTCATTAACACATGTACCATTAACTGAAGTTACAGGCTTTTCCAACCATTCCCATGGGCAAATGCAGGGAAACAGGGTGCTTGCACCTATGGCTTTCTAACTACCCAGTTATCGCGCTCCTCTGAGAGAGTTTCACTGGATTTCACATAAAGGAAAATGTTAAATATCCTGGGAAGAATCTAACCTACTGCTTCTTCTCTTTTCTTATTTGAATTTGTGCGGTTGTACCTGCCAGCTGTTACATGTTCAACGTTAAAGAGCTCCTTGCCAGCAAAATAATTTCCATTTGTTTGTTTATAGACTATGATAAACGTACTCTTTCATTTTCAATTTCATGAGCAAAATAAATTGGATTCTTAAATCAGTCCTTTTCCCATAAGTTTTCCAGACCTTGAATAATTGTTGGGGCTTTTCTGCATTTTGTCTAATTTTTCAAGTTGACTTTGAAAGGTGGGCTCTCAGTAGAAGTCAGAAGTTCAGAAGTTGTCTTAACATTGGTAGCAATATCTGCCCTACTTCCTACTGCTCTGCTTGTGTATGCCAAGATTCTTTTTGTTCATACAGCCTGCTGTATCTTATTCACTCAGCTGCTTACCAGAGTCCCTAAGAGGCTACTTCTTTCTGAAACACCTCCTTCCATTAAAGACAGCATCCACTCTTGGTTCCTTGGTTGATTCAAATATGTGTAGTTCATCAAGTAATACAGATACTTTGGTAGAACAAGCTTGGATTTAATACTTTTTCTGTCATTGGACAGTTTCTCTAGGTTTGAAATTTCTGTTTCTCCAGTTAATTGAAAGATAATGTATAATATTGGGCTGAAACAATTTGCCATCTCACTCTGCTTCAGACAGCTTACCAGGGAAGATCTCAAAAGCTACTGTGAATGGTGAGTTATCAAGTACTCTTTTATGAACCATTTGTATTTACTAAATTGGCTGCTTCTAAAGCAATTATTTGTGGGAAGGGTGCCCAGGCTGAGGCAACTGTTCATGCCACCTGGCAGGCTGCTGTTGCTGTTCTATCAGCTGAGCATTTTAAACAGCCTCACAGATATCACGAAGTACCATTTAGGTTTGTGCAGGGGCAGTTCCAGATGAGGAGGTAGCTCCTACGAGAATCAGAGAAGCGAGAGGAACGACTTGCTCATCTTCCCAAAGGAAAGCGCAGCGACCATTTGTCTGGGGGCAGGTTCACGCAGGTCTCCCCAGGCTTTCTCACTTTTCCTTAAAGTAACAAGCTGCAGGTTCAGTTTCCTCCTCCCACTAGGACTGTAGCAGCAGCGTAAGAACTTTATCATCGGTATTGCTGAGAGTTAGCATCAGTCTAGGCTTATTTCCTAAACAAATGTGTAATTTTAAAATGAAATATTCTTCTATAGAAAAAGCTAACCTGACAGCTGCAAAGCATTTATGAGAATTAGATAGTTAAAAAGTGATGCAAATATATAACTTCCATGCCCATCATAAGTTAGTATAGTTAGAATTGTAGTTTAATATTTCAGTAAAATCCCATTTCAATCTTACCGCCTCCATGTATCTGACACAAGTATGGAAATCTCCACACGTTCCCCAGACCAACGGCAAATCCAATACAGCTTAAAATATACTGGAACTTATTGTCCCACTTGGGCCTGCCATCTTCTTTAGGGGTTTCAGGTGGCACTGATAAATCTTTTGACATTGTAATGAAATACCCTTGGCTCCTTAGCCCCTTTCCCTGTAAATGGGAAGATGCTTCAAAACCTGCCTCTCTTACAGGTTTTATATGGGGTGACTGAAGGATCCTGGAAAGAGAGGTGGAGCTTTCTTTTTATGTGATGCCAAGGAATGTGTCATTGCCAAAGCTGCAGTTTAAAGACAAAACCAGGAATTATTATTATATAGTTACCAGCCTTGACTTTTTTGCAGCTCCTTCTATAGTTAGAGAACTTGGGAATATGCTGTTAATGGGTAACTTGGGATCAAACAGGTTTTTATTTTCTGTTCTCCTTCTGTTCTCAGATACTTTCAGAGAAATGTGACGCTGAATATAATTAAAAAGAAACCTTTGCAGAATACTTACTAAAATCGTAAAATACTGGGAAAAACCTGTGAGTAAAGTGTTGCCATTTCTTTTCTTATTTTGTTAATAGAGGTAAATGAAGACATCTTTTGCAAGTAAGAAAACTATATTTTAAAAAAAGCAAGAAAAATTAGATGGTGTATGTTCAGAGACTAGAATTTGGTCCATTTTTGCACCGTTGCTACTAGAGGTTAATCACTTCCCACCTATCAGTGAATCCCAAGTGACTATTTTTATTGTTCATTAAATAGTTACTGATGAATGTAAGAGCTGGATGCTTTCCTTCAAATGAAAGTGTGTGAGAATGTTTCAGTTATACCAGGGTTTTGCTGTTTTGCACACCAAATCAGTTCACTCCACACTAAACAGATCAGCCAGTCAGCCTGCTTGCTTCAATAAATCAACACTTTATGCCTGGATTCCCCTTTTTGAAATGGGAAGAGTATCTAAGTGAAGATGGATTTTTTTTTTTTCCCCAAAATACTTGGAGAGAAATAAAAGCCCTGCTTTGCAACTAAGCATACAAATATGGTCAGGCTGCAGATCATCCAAACAGAAGCCAACTTCACATCTAGGCTACACAAGTCTCCCCAGGTAAGCACAGTTCATCTGCTTGCAGCTCTGCAAACATCCAGATCCATAGGTGGAGCAACTCAACTTCCCCGTCCCTTGCCAGGCTGTCACAGGGCACGCACAAGTAGGTGCTCAGGGCACCCACCAACATTGCCCCCGCTGCTGCTGCACTTCGGACTGGGAGATGTCTTGTGCTGTGCTGGGGCTGTTCTAGCACCACACTGATTTCCAAACCTGCCACCTGCAGCTGGCCACTTCAAACCTGGTTTTATGCCTTCTCACTGGCTGAGCTTTTTCTCAGAGAGAAAATCTGACAAGAGTTGTTTTTCCCATTACAGAATAACATCCTTAGATAGTTTAAATAATTACTCACCTTCAAATAATTAAGAAAAATGGAAATTGAAGTGCAAATGAATTTAATAATTCAAATTCACATATAATGCCTGGTACTTTACTCTCTATTTGGAGCAGGTATACTACTCTAAAGATACACTTTAGAGTAGATATACCCTAAATATCCCTATTTCTTGTAAGAGAGTATTTTGATTACAAGGGAGTGTCAGGGTGTAAATTGGATCAATTCTTGTCTTAAAAAGCGGGTACAGGAAGAGCTGCAAAGTGATACAAATGTGTTGCCTATGTACAGGGACTGTTGGATGAAAGGGACCAGCTATCCAGAGAGGACATTACACTGTCTGCTTCCAGAATTCAGCCTGGGTGCTCTGCTGGTGACCCTTTCTCTCTCCAGCGACAACATAAGGAATGGGACTCCTGACTAAGCTCCTCTGGGTCACATGGAAGTTAGGAGTTTGAAATAGTTGTAAGGTAGATGTGGCTGTGAGTATGTGAACTAGATCTGCCCACCATGGTTGTGGCAGATGAGGGCTAGAAGCTTTGCACCACTTGGGTCCCTTGGATCCCCCCATCAACATAGGTCTCCCAGGCAAGTGGTGCACCCCTTGCTCATGGGTGCCATAGAAGGCAGATTTTGCCGTTTCCTGAACTGCTGCTGCCCCATTGTAAGATTGCCTCTTCTGTCATCAGCAGAAGCAGTGCTAGCTGCTGGGAACTTGGAAGTAATAGACAATTAATAAAATATCCAGAATTATAAATGAATCAAACTGTCATTCTCAAACGTTTTTATTAAACATTTTAAATTTCTGCTTGAGACAAATAGTATTGGGAGCTTTGTGCAACACAGTGGTATGTAAAGTAAAAATAATTTAATGTGCAGGAGAAGTCAATATTAAGTTACCCTTCATATTGGCCACCCAACCAGAGTGATTGCACATGGAGGAGTCATTTATGGCACATCAAACGCAGTGCATCCCCAGAGAACTGCAAGCCAGTTTCAAACAAGCTGGCTTCAAACCTAGAAAGAGGACAAATGATTTGACCTGATGCCCCAATCACTTGCCAATGTGGCTATTTTTCTTCTGGGATCCAAGCCATTAACTCTTCACAGTGCATTGCATGTTAAGTAAAAAAAATGTTTACCTGGAAACAACACATCGTTATCTTATGAAAATAAAATTCACTCTGGATTCTTTAAAAAATATATTTTTACTTTTCTCATTGACAAAGCATTCTTTCACATTTTTAAAAATGGTTTTATAGTGGATACTTTAAGTTTCCATTAACAGAAGTCTCAGATGTGGAGCTCATAAGGCCCATATGATCGTTTTTTTTATGACAGCAATTTCTGATGGCTTTGTAGATGGCAAAGGCAGGGATGACCAAACTAGGCACTCCAGCGAGGATTACAATAATAGCATACACCCAATTGGGATATTCAACCTTCTGTGTTTTGGGGAACTCCTCCTGAAAGAGCACACAATCAAGTTGCAGAAAGTGGTGAGGAGCAAATACCTGGGAACATGCACATGTTCAATAATTCAACAGATCAAAAATGTAATCAGAACAGTAGCTAGCCACAATGACACAATAATTCGCCAATTCCACAGCAGTTTCCAGCTCAAAGGTTTCCAGTTTCAGCTGTTTTGGACTATTTTTTTACTTAAAAGTGATGGAAAGAAGATGGTGTGAAAGAAGCAAGGGCCAGGAAGGGAGACTGGTGGGACAGCTCCTGATACACTTCCTGGCCACAAAGGCGTGTAGGACTCGGGCTCACAGGCCACCAGGGCTTGGTGGCCAAATGGCTTTTGGATAGGAAGTCTGAAATCAAAGCGTGCAGGAGGACTGAAACATTGTTAAGAAGCAAGTGCGATTGCTGAGGAGGAGAGAAGAAAGCAGTCCCATTTCCCCATCTTCCTTTCTCTCCTTTTCTGTCTCTATCTTATGAAAATAAAAATTAATCTTTACAAACTAAGTGTGCTGCATGACTGTTTCTGTTTTAAGGATGGTAACTGGTATAAGGCCAGAGAACAAATAGCAGAGCTAGACAGGCAGGGAAGAGATGGGGTGACAGCGAAAATTATGGGACCTGTATTTTTTCTAGTATGCCCTTCTCTGTACTACATACAGCTTTTTATTCTGCAAGAGGAGGAAAGGAAAAGTAGGTAACTTGTTGCCTAAGTTATAATTTAAATCATACCAATACATTTGGAAGAGGAAAAAAGAAATCTGGATATTAATATTAATTAATATTAGTTTCATCTGTCAGTGATGAGTAAGCAGCACTACTGCAGTTGTGCGATTTTGAATGCACACAGAAACAAGTGCAATATCAAAATGGCTTCACAGATTTGGTCTTTTGTCAACATGGGAAGGTTGTGACATTTCCAGTTCTACTATAATTCCTACTGGGGAACTGACATCTGTTTCAGTCTTGCCTGACAACTGGACAAATGTTTTGGTTTTGTCCACTTCCCAAAAGCTACTCAGGTGTCACTATATACCAGCTGCAGGCATCACTGCTGAATTTAGGACTTACTTTTCTAAGTGTTACTTTTTATTATTACTTCATGTCTTGTAGTGAGTTTTTTACTGGAAAACTCTTTTAGATGGGAGATGAATATAACTGACTATGACTCTTACATTAAAGAAGAATACATAAACTAATTCTAAATAAATATTTTTGTTTTATATACTTACATAGCTAGGGTCCCAAACACTGTAGAACAGTTCTTCATTGACTTTCACCACAAAATAAAAGAAGAAAATAACTAACATAATGAGAGGACTGACAACTCTCCAGGTAATCTGCCAGAAAATATTGGGCTTGTGTCCAATCATGAATTCAATATCTTTGTTAAACCTAGAAATCAAAACAGGAAGTTCAGGATGGTAAAAACTAGTCAGGATCAAAGGATGCCTGCTCATAAACAGGGACGTTCAAACTACGCCAGGACTTTGCTAACGTCAATGTGAAATGAGGGTTAGTAATAACATCAGGAGTTAGACCTAAGTAGTTCATATGAAGGCAGGTATCACTGTAACCACATTAGACATTTTTAAATCATAGTTCTCAAAAATATGTCAGGAAAATTATTTTTCTAAATGTACTTTCTTCAAGAAGTTGGTGAAGCATATGTGAAATAGCTTCAGCACAAAAGAGTCAATGCAGACAGACTTTCCCTATAACATATTGCAGTATAGTTTCAGGATTTCTTGTAAGCATCTCAGAGCTGCATAAATTAAAAGGAATGACACAATATTAAAAAAGAGCAAAAGGAAATTGGAGTAATTTTTTAAAATTATATTCTATACATAATGTTTGCATAATTCGGATTTCTACCAGTTTTCTCAGGTTGAGTACTGAAACAATATTTAACTTTACCCATTGTTAAGAACACCTTAAAATGTCTTATTTGGGTTATTCACAGAGTGTGCAGTGAACAATGGGCAAAATTTCTTCCACAAGAGGAAACAATCCCTGCATTGAGAGTGATACTGTCTGCATCAGTCCTGAATGAATTTTTGACCTCTACATGTGATGCAGCACCATGTGCACACACTTCTTAAAAAATAATTATTTTGGAAGTTTGGGGCTTCTTTTGTCAGTCCTCTTGTCTGGCTTTCCTGTGTATCCTGTGGGGATAAGTCTGAGGGGACTATTCAGTTGGTCCTACAGCTATGAATAACACACAGAATTCAGCTGAGTCTCAGTTACTACATAAATTTATTTCATCTTTTCATTCCTAACTTCTAAGATTTTGATATTATTCTTAAAATGGTATGGGGCCCCATGCTCCTACTGCAAAGCACATCCAGGTGTAGTTCACATGAGTGCCATGGATAACCCACAGTTTCTCCTTCAAGCAGGAGAGCCATCTTTTTACCAATGACCCTTTCTCAGAAAAAGGTCACAGAAACTCGTCTGGAGCAGATAACACCACCTTTGGGCAGCCCTGATAAGCTCTGTACTCAAAGAGGGCTACAGCAATGTGTACTAGCCAGGAACACAAAAGTATGGTGTGAAGTTCTTTTCTGAATCAATCCCCACCCCTCTATGGCCTCAGCCCATGTTTATGTCCTGGGAAGAGTTTTAATTTGACTTTGTAAAGCGTTCTGATATTTCAAAGGGAAGCCAAAGTGATCAGCACAGTCTTTTCTGTCCTTAAGCAATTAAAATAAACCTTCTTTCATTAGGATGCTCCCTCTGCTTGTCTAATTTACCTAAGTTGATTCACGCCTCCTCAGGTAAAACTCTAAGTATGGGAAGACAGGCCACTAGGGCATTCACCCCACGGCCAGGAGCAGCACAGCTGGAGGGTCTGGCATGGGTTCAAGTAAAACCTATGGGTGGCTGAAGTCCCCACACTCTTTTCATATTTCTTATGTGTTAATTATAAACAGAAAGATGGTTAAATTTGATTAATTTCATCTCTAGAAAGTTGATAGGATAATTACTCACTGCTACAACTGATAAAGTCTTGAATCTATCATCTAAGAGCATATCTCAGTAGCCTTGGATTTGCATCCTGTTGTAAAATAACACCTGCAGCCTGCCTGGAAATCCATGGTTTGGATAGTATAATTCCTGCGATATACCTCTGTTTTAAACTTTCAGCTCAGTGCCAGTGTGTGTGTACTTTGCTTCTGCTAATTAAATATTTGATGCAATTATCCTGAAGAGGATTTCTTGCAAATGCTGCCATATTTAAAATGTAAATGTGCTATAGCGGCATTTTCTAACTGTTGCCGTGCATTCTGATGTTTACTTTAATAAAGAATTATTTGTACTTCTATTATTATACTGTAGGGCACTTGCTAATGCCTAATATTTCCTTGCAATATCTTAGCAATGTGTTTATTTTATTTCATTGTTATGGAGCATTATCTTTTATAACTTATTTTTGGTGTAAATCTTTCATGTACAAATAAAAATCCCCCCCACACACTGTTAACAAAGCATCTTTTCTTTTTGTTGAGAACTATTTTAGAATCTTAAATCATACAAGCAAGGCTAAACTACAGTTGCATAATCTCCGTGATTTCTATAACAGAAATGATACACATTGAGATGTAGCAAGATTGCAGCTACACAACTAATCAATTTATGCACTAGTTTCTAGTAATGTTCAACTTGGATTTCATACCTGTCTATTCCATAAATGTAGACAACTGAAAACATCTCAAAAAACGCAATTATTAGAAGGGGAATAGAGCCAGCAAAACTATCAAATAGAGACAGCCAGTAATTACCAGACCTCAGCACAAAAATAAAAGCAATCAAGTAAGACACCACACAAATGAAACCTGTGAAAAAAACAAACAACAGCACATTTAGGCAAAGAAAGCAAAAAAAAAAAAAAAAACCACCCCCAAAAAAAAAACAAACCAACCCCCCAAACACCCTAAGAAATCTTCCCAGTAGCTAGAAAGCTTTATAAGTAACTTTTAATTCAGTTGCAGCCTGAAGGTAACCACTTTATTTTTTAATGGTACTCTGACAAGGCCAGCTTTTATTCTGGTAAAATGGCAAAACTCTCCCAACATTGCACAGGTGGGAGATGCTGCAAACACAACAGGAGAAGGCTAAGGAGAGAAAACAGGTTTTCTTCCTTCTTGTCAGTGGGATAATGTTGCACTGAGAGAAATCGTGCCTGGGTGCATCATAGAACCATAGAATGGTTTGGGTTGGAAGGGACCTTAAAGATCATCCAGTTCCAAACCCCTGCCATGGGCAGGGACACCCTCCACTAGACCAGGTTGCTCAAAGCCTCATCCAGCCTGGCCTTGAACACCTCCAGGGATGGGGCATCCACAACTCATGAAGGACTCAGCTCCTCCATCTTCCCGACAGAGGAGATGATAACCACCATGAGCAGGCTGACGGGCAAGCCATGGGGTAAACGGCTCTCTGCAGGCTCAGAAGGAACCTCAGAGGAGCTGACCTGCTGGGGGACACGAGAAAACCTTCAGCAGATTACCTAGGAGTCTTAGGACCATGCCAGATCAGAAAGCAAGTGGGTGGTGGGTCGATTTTTCAGCATGTAAACTATTCCCTGGGGTCAGGGGAGGTCACTTGTCTCTAAAAAGGCACTTACCAGTAACAAGTTCCTTTGGTACTTTGGGGGGTATAAGCTTAAGATCTTCTAAAGGTACAAGCACACCTTCCGTATTTCCAAACATGGATGACAAACCCAAGCAGAAGAGCATGATGAAGAAGAGGATGGACCATAAAGGTGAGACAGGCATTTTGGTGATAGCTTCAGTGAAGACAATAAAGGCTAGACCAGTTCCTTCGACTCCCTGTGGGAGATTTCAGAAGCTCCAAGATGAGGCTCATTAACATCACGCAGCACTTACATTTACATTGGAATCATTAGGCTTGGTGTATGCTACATCATACCACAATAATTATGCTTTTTGTTTCCACAAAGACCTCCTAATGAAGCAATATATTTACTGTTATTATAATGCAAACTTAGTTCATGGGATTTTATGGACACCTGTTTTCATCTGTAATTGATGACTTTTTGAACCAAAAAAAAAGGTGCATGAATTTAATTATTTTTTTAACTTTTTTCATCCCAGTGTCAAGGTCCACTCTTTCTGTGTTGTGACACACTCATACTAATTGGGACGAGGCTTGTTCCAATTGCTTCCTTGCTTTGGGAGTCTCTTCCCTAGTCACCTTGTCCCACCACAGCTGCAACCAGCCAGCTCCAGAGAAATACCTGCCGCTATTTTGACAGCTACAAGAGGCTAGCCTAGAACACTTGTGGGTTTAGCTACTAGTCTGACAGATTGCCAGTACTTTTCAGGGTAACTAAACAGTTTATCTCTTAAAAAGCAGAATGGGGAAAACAAAAGTAATTCTTCAGTCCACAGGCATTCCAAGACAATTGCAGTCCATCAGTGGAAATATTAAAAAACCAACAACCTCAGAAGAAAAAGTATTAGGCAATTAAAAAATTATTATGAGTTTCTACCATATTTATGACGTTGATATGAGTCAGGGTGTTAAACTTACATCATTCAGGAAACTTTCCAGATTACAGGATTCAAACTTCAGGCTCGCAAAAATTGTTGGATCAGTCATGTTACACAGCTGCTGCCATTGTTCAAAGTTATCTTGGGTTACATTACCTTCTGGCAAATCAAATGCATTCGTCAGAGTAAGAATATTTCTGAAAAAGTGAAACACAAGTACTTTGAAATTGTTTATTTGTAAGCATCCTCAGGATTAATTTTCATCATCAAGCAAGTTATTAAGACCACAATGTCTTTTATAAAGATACAAAGGAAGCAATGTTTCTGTTGCTCAAGATCAGATTTTGAAATTGGGAAGTCCAGCCCTTTTGTGCATGGGCAATTCTTTCTTCTTCCAAGGTGAGTCTGACACTGTCTTTTACAGCACAGGTGGCAGCTAAATGGATCAGCAATGCTAGGGACCTGTGCAGAAGTTAAGTGCCCATCTTTACACAGCAGACTGGGCACCAGTTCCCAAACTAGAAAGCTTCTGGGAATGTGTAAGGTGTCTGCAGTTATGTATCATGCACTTTTACAACTGAATATGGAGGAACTTGACTGGAACTCACAGGGTCTGTCAGCCCTCGTTAGAAGGGAGTCTGAATTGCTCCAGTAAAATTAGGTACCTCTGATGACACCTCAGAATTTCAGCTCTCCAGGAGGCAACCTAGATACAGAGCTGACACAGGGACCAGGGTACATTACATTCATGCCATATGTCAGCTCTGCAGGCATCGATTGTTGGGAGTTCTTCACTTTTTGGGTTTTTTTTTTTTTTTTGCAAAGTTTCTTGACAATTTTCTTGACCATTTTCCAGTGGTTGGTAGAGCTTCATGTAAATGGCATTAAAATGAGAAGAATTTAATGAATTATCCAATTTGGGTAATTTCCCAAGGTAGTACAGAGAGTCACTAGCAGTACCTGAGATGCCTACACTGTGATCCAGCTGTGGCTAGGACTCCGCAGGACTGTCAGAATGGCCTGGTCATGGGGAGTTTTCTTAAAATGGACCGTGCTCTCAGTGGCTCACTGCAAGTGATTTTCAAGGCAGAACCACATAGTTTGGCCCCTATGTCAGAAGACCTTTGAGGATTTGACATCAGCCATAGTAGAATTAGCAGCAGCAGCAGCCTAGTAGCCGGGTTTTTCTGTTTGTTTTCAAAGTATGCAATGTAAAATCCAATTTTTCACAGAACCTTATCCAGTTAAGTATTTACATTCTTTCAGAATGTGTTTCACAACCATTGTTGCAAACGATTAATTTTTCACATTTACCTCTAAAACTATAGATACTCTAGAATGTTTAAGTGAAATAATATATCACACACTGAATCAACCCTTATGTAAATAGAAAGTATTACATAAACTGCAGTTATATTTGAAAGAAGTGATTGAAAAAAATTTCAAACATGGAATATTCTCTTCCTCTCTTGTTACTTTTTGAAAACATCAGGGGATAATGTAAAATACAGTTGCTTATGCAACATCTATGTAGGAAATAAGGTGGCTCAAATAATTATCACTCCCTATGGGGCTGATATTGCATGATTTAAATCTTTTGAAGTAATGAGTGGTCTGATACCATGTGGGTTAGAAGCTGTAATTGTTCAGAAACGATAAAGCCAACACCATCAGGCTGAAAAAGCTGCCTCAATCAACAAAACACCTGCATATTCTGTGGCTTTTTTTCCCAATAACTTACCTGTCAAAACAGTCATCATATCTTTCTGTGGCTCTGAATCCAATTATGGAATATGTGACGGTTGCTGCATAGACAGATGTGAAACCATTGACCACTGAAATAATCAGAGCATCTCTCTCACAGTTATTGCTGCAATTCAAAGAAAAGAAGCAATGGATTTCAAACACATTCGCAAAATCAATACTAAAAACTGGCTGTTAAGACTAACAAAAAAGCAGTCTACAGACACTTAGGTACATCACTATGCTCTCTAAGAGTATATAAATGCAGATCTTAAAGATAGATTTAGTGAATTGCAACGTGGTGCCTCAAGCAATTTAATAGCTATGTTTTGGGGTTTTTCCCCCAAATAATCCTATTTGTAAGGAATAACAGCCTGAGTTGCTTCTGCATCTGGCTCATGGAAAGTAGAACAAGAGGGGCAAAATGTATGTCTCCTCCTGGGAACAGCTTTGTTTGATTGTTGGACAAAAGATGGTTCAAAATGCCCTCAAGTTTTGGAAATATGATGGAACATTACGCAGGTAAGTTTGACAGACAAGCTGGTCCCTTGTGAAAGTTCAGCTGCTTGGTAGAGACCTCTCTGCTGTGGGCACTTCTTCCCAGGGAATCTGTGCTAAGATGGAAAATTTTCAGAGCCAGAAGGAGACTTTCACATGAGAGAGAAGATAAAGAATCAATATTAAATTAATTATTGGTTTTATGAGAAGGCTGTAAAGCTCTAGCTATTGTATTTCTCTTGGGCAAGAGAGGACTATTGAGATTAACTTGATGTTGTCATATTTAATTTTCTGATCACCTTCAAGAGGAGAAGACAGACAAGCCTGTCCAGCCAAGACCTGCAACACTGTGACCTTCCCTCATTTATAGCATTGCAAATAGGTCTCTATTTTGGGCGGAAGGCACTGAATGAAAATTCCTTGCTGTACTCTTGTGTCAGTTTTTTTCACTGTAATAGGAGATTCTCAATGACAGGCTTGATAAAAATATTTCTTCCCTTCAGAGAAAGTAAGATGCTCAAGCTCCTCCTTGTTAGGAATGAGTGAATACCCAATGGCGTTGAAACCTCATGGTATTTCCTGAGGTGCTCACGCTCCCAAACCATCTGGAACCAGAGTCACTCATGAACTTTTGAAAAACATCTGAAATCAAGAGTGGTGGCAGGGAACTACATCAGTGACTGAAATGCTGGTGTGGTCGAAACTGAGTCAAAACTGAAACACAAATTTCTGAATGCATTACCAAAACAGATAACCAAAACTTAATTTGGAGATATTTATCAAAAATATTAGGTTCAAAGAATGATGCACAGTTTGTCTTTCAAGAGGACAGGGCTGACAGACTGGAAGGCACCAAGAGGTCCCATATTTTGGGAGGGTGAGTATAGAATATAGCACCATGTTGTAATTTGCTGACTGGGTCATTCCCTGGGTGACGGGAGTTTGTACTCTATCTCTTCCCTGACCCCATCGCCTATATAAAGGAAGGAACTCAATTTTAATTTCAAAACTCCTAGATGTATCTTCTAATCTCTAAGCTAAAGATTTAAACTGTGGTCTGTAAATACCTTTGAAATGTGTGTACCATCACCCAGCTCCAACAGTGTAGAGACAAAGGGCAGCACCATGAGCCGAGCACTCCTGCAAAGGAAGCTCCTGCTCATCAGCTGCTTGTAGGTGATGGCCAGTCCCCTTCTCTCTAGTCTGTGCCACCACATCTTTCTGCAGGAAGTCAGCCAGCACTGGGATCTGAAATCTTGGCTTGGGAGAGACAGGATCAGGCAGAGATCTGCCTTACATGGCTCAGGGGATTTTGTCCTGATCCCAAGTAGTTACTGTGTAACAACAGCACAGACGTGGACATGCTTCACTTGCAAGAATGAAATATTCATATAAAATTTGTCTTTTGCCTGGCTACTTACTGAATAGAGTTGTAACTGGAGAATGAAATGAGGCCTCCAAAGGCCAGGGAGAAAGAGTAAAACACCTGAGCACCCGCGTCCAGCCACGTCACTGGGTTAGCCAGCTCGGTAACCTGGGGCATCAGACATACAGCTTTAAGCATATGCAACATTGCTCTTTAGTCTGAATATGAGGGATTTAAAGCAATAATTAGAACAAGAACATTAACCATGTAGAACTCACCATTTTTGAAGAATGTTAACAAATAGGTCAATACGTTTGTCAAACTTACTTTCTTCTTGAAAAGAAAACCTATCTGTAGGTTTTCTACAAGCATTTTGAAAATTGATAAACAAATTAGTTTCCATAGCTGACAGCTGCCATGCCTGTTTCCAGAAAAGGTGTTTATTATTTAGCATTAATAATGACTATTCAGAGGTCTTCTCATGGAAAATGAAACACTTCTAAATTTTGTTTAAAAGCTGTTTTATAGTTAAACCATTCTTTTAGGTCTTTTGTCCATACAGCCATACTGATTAGATGGGTTCTACTCCCAACTGCACCATTTGTGCTTTAAAGTTAGACTTGCCTTAACTAGAATACAGGAAAATAAAACAGGCTCCCTTATGGTCACCACATTGCGTGTCTCTGTGATGGTCCTTTAATTTTTAATAACAGATTTTGAAGGGGTGTGGAGAGGGGGGAGAGAGAGAGAGAACGTGTGCATATATTTTACATCCGATGTAAAGGATTCACCTCCCAGAATCAAGATTTTAAAGGTGTCTGAGGGATAGTTAAAAAAAAGCACCAATGGAGGAGACTAATTTTCAATTAGTTGTTAATTACATAAAGTTTCACTAAGGGACAAACAATGTAGTGACTTACATTAGGGGTGAAGAGATACACAATTCCATTGGTTGATCCTTTCAGCGTCAAGCCACGGATTAGAAAAATGGTAAGCACAATGTACGGAAGAGTTGATGTTACGTACACAGCCTGTACGAGAAGCATGCAAATAAAACACTTAAATAAAACAGAAAACTTAAATAAAAATAGCACTGCAGGGAAGAAAAGAGAGGAATAAACAAGGTACTCTGACTAACAAACAATAATGGAAAGTTTCAAACGAGTCACAACTAACATACTACAGAAAACTATGTTCAAGACAAACCATATGTGCAGTATATTTAGATAATAAGCATTTTTACAGTTATAGTGCTCTATTTAAGGCAAATTGTTGTTGTCGAAATTCAACTCAGATCATTCAAAAGCAGCACAAAAAATAATCTACTCCCTGGAATCAGGTTGATGCTGCTGATGCAAGGATGGGCTCTTAGGGCTTCTGTGGGCAGCAGAATATTGATCAGTCTTTTAGAGAGATAATATTAAGGACTAGCACAAACCCAAATAAATCTGTACATGTAAGTTTTGAAGAGAACGGCCATAGCAAAAGGACAGAGTCCCTCCATTGTGCATTAAAGGTTAATATTAATGTTAAGGTGGTAATACCTAAAGAATGTTTTACTAGGACCTATAAGGACAAGGAAGCTGAATTGCTCATAAAAATCTCCACATAAATCAAATCAAAATTCCATTTCATTCAGCTTCCTTCTACAAAAAGCAGCCCCAGTGATGACACATGAAGTTTTACACACGCTTTTACTCAAGAAACAGGCAGTTTCTCTGGCATGATCAAGTCTCTTATGAACAAGAAATCACAACAGCATAAAGAATATAATCTCATAAAAGACCAAAATAGAGTACCTTTCCTGTTGTTTCGATTCCTCTGATTACGCACACGTACAGTACACCCCATGCACATGTTAAACATAAAAAAAGCCACCACTGTATAGTGCCTGAATCGTCAATGGAAGTGGAGATGTTTAAAGTTTCTCTGTACCAGAAATAATCTACAGGAGAGCTCTTGGCGCACTCTTCTATGTAATCTGTAACCACAAAACGGTTGTCATTCTGTACATCTCTTATCTACTTGAAAAAAAGGAAGTTAAATAATAAACACCAGTATTGCAAATTATACCACCTAATGCCAGTGAATTTGTTGTTGGCAAACTTCAGATTCTTAGAGTCTGGTTTTGTGGAAAAATGAGAGATTTAAGAGAATTGTTTAGCAGGAATTTAAACACAGATTTTATTGTTATTTCTACTAATTCAACCATGCAGATAAAATTTTGAAGGTCACTCAGAGACTCTAATATCTTTATAATTTTCCTCTTTTCCTATGAAAATATGAGGTTAGAAGCCTCTTCTGACCAAGAAAGCGCAGAGAGGATTTCTGAGCATAAATGTATGTACATCACATGAAAAAATATTTTTTTACTAGAAGAAAAGCAGTTAGGTAGATGTTTTTGATGATTGTACACTTCCTACCTCATCTTGAAAAAAAACCAAAACTAACAGCTTTGGGCTTTCCACACACATTCTCTCTTTCTTGCCTGATGGAGTGTGGGTGCCTGCCCGCAGCTTCCTGCAGCCAGGCGGCTCTTCCCCTCCCATGCTGCCTTCACATCAGCAATATTTGGTCTTTCTGTTTCATGGGGCATCGTTCAAGGTCTTGTCAGCTCAAGTTGGATTGTCAGCTCCTTGCAATGCGCTGACCTGTGCAGTACTCTCTCCTGACCTGCCCGTATATGAGACTTTTTATAGTTATTATGGGAGAAGAGGAGCAAAGCTCTCTGAAGAGCTGTTCACAAACCAAGCAGAAAAACCTGCTTCATACAGTTTCATGTAGGGCTGACTATGGAAAACAAAGCTGCTGTCACCAAGCAGTCTCCAAGGGGCTATAGACTGTTGTCACATTTGTCACATTGGGAGATACAAGTGGTTCATACGGATTATGCATCTCCTTTTTTTTTTTTTTTTTTTTTTTTTTTTTTTTTCAGTGTGTTAATAGAGGGCTGTTGATGAAGAGATGGATGAAACAGATTGCCTAAATCTGGAAAATGTTAATGTTTATGCTAGACTGGCACTTTCTGAATATTATGTATGTGAACACATCTGTCATAATCAGCCCTGAAGTTTCATATAAAAAGTCAAAGTTTGTCTCAAAGATTAAGCATTGATCACATTTTATATAATGTAAATTTTTACAAAACACAAGTATTAAACCAGCACAATGTTCCTGACAGGACTGCCATGCTTTGCTGCTGTTTTACAGAAAGAAGTCCAGTTAGGCTAATTGCTAAAAACAGAAAAATGTACTGCACAAAAAAATAAAATGCTTCATAAAATATACCTGTTCTGTTGTCATTGAGAGGACACCTACTCCAAGGCAGGGGCTCTTGGAAGGAGTTGAAGAAATACCACATTACCAAAGCAATAATAGTATTATAATATAAACCCACCAGGAAGGACACAAACATTGCAGCTATGCCTAAAAAAAAAATAAAAATATATATATAT